TGTGTGTGTGTGTGTGTGTGTGTGTGTGTGTGTGTGTGTGTGTGTGTGTGTGTGTGTGTGTGTGTTGTATATATTGCACAGTATAGACCAAATATTAAATAAAGAAGTAATTGAAAAATGTTAAATATTAAAGAAAGTTATTCAGTCTTTTTTGCTGTTGTTCTTTTACAATGCAGTTTACATACAAAACAACCAGACTTTTCAAAGATAGGCATTAACTTTGTTACCCTCCACTCTAAAACTAACCTATTAAGGAAGATAAATGTAATTGAAATTATTTTAATAAACTAAACTTTCAAGTTGGATTCATTTAGCAGTTTTACTCTATATTCTTGTATATTTGGTCTGTCTTGAACTGATGGTGATCAAAACCATGCTGATCATTTCATGAAAACAACTCGGGCAGGACTCAAATACAGGTCTCAACTTTCAAACGTCAGTGCAGTTTGTTCTCAGTTCAAAATGTGCGACAATCAGAACTTAAGAGTAGTGACAATGCCAGGCTCCCAGACACACATAGCTCTCCAACACTTTTCTAGAGTGTCTTCCCAAACTTAACGTGCTCCTGTGACCAGCCAACTAAGAAGAGGCACTAACAAAGTCATCAGTGACAGATGAGTGGACATCCAGTGTTATGTAGAAACCAAAAGGCAGGAACCTATGAAAAGTCCAGACAATGCACAAAACTCAAAGTACTAAAAGTACACGGAATACACACTCGCACACACACACACACACACACACACACACACACACAGACAAAGAGATAAGGAGAGAGATGAGGCAGAGAGCCAGAAACAACTTCAAGATGTTTGGTGAGATTGGGTTTCTTTGATTGCATGTGGAGGGGAATGTTCTCTGTGGAAAAACAAACCTTTTGACCTGGTTGATAGGCTGGTGCAGGAGTTCGATTATGATCGACTACACGTTTATTTTGATCTCCGGTTCTCAGGAGTTCAGATTAGGTTGCTTTCCATAGATAGCAACATCTGTGGAAATGATACTGTGCTGAGGGCACCATTAGTTCACCCTCAAGCAGAGGGGAAGAGAGTAGTTTGGTAGCCAAAGGATGCCTCAAACAGTGACAGACCCGTGGCTGAGGATGTCATCGTGTTATGGCCATATTCCACCTTATTCCACCTTCAAGTGGATTGTATTCTACAGGCAATGCAGCAGAGTACGAATTCTAGCTCCTGTTTTATACGCTGTGTTTCTCTGTGGATGGAAACCAGAGGATAAACTAACCTGAGCTCATGCCCTGAACAGAACTCCTTCCATACTGGAGATGTACCTTGAGGGTCGATATTAGACACGACATCACTGGGAATGCCATGAAGTCAGAAGACATGTTTAATGAGGAGCTGGGCTGTTTTGATGATGGACAAAAGCTTCAGGAGAGCAACAAAATGGGCTGCTTTGGAAAACCGGTTAATGGTGGTAAGTATAACTCATGTTTCAGGCTACATGAGACCAAGGTTAGCTTGAAGTGGAAAGAGGCCTCAACAAACCTTCTTGCAGGGTTTTGGAAGGTTTATTCTGTGAACAGGCAAGGACATATTCTCAGATTTCTGTCATTAAAGCGGGTCACCAGAACAGATTGTGAAGAAAAGATTTGGTATGAAAGACACAAAAATCTTGCTGTAAGTACCCAATGAATATTTTTCAAGAGGATGCAGGGCACGTGGAGCTGGTTGGGGTGTCCACCGCTTGGATCCGGTTCCTTCCTCTAAGCATCCTCTAAAGACATGATTTCCAGTGTTAGAGAGCCAGTGATACAAGATGGAGGTAGGATGGTTTCATCTTCGGGTTTGTTATCCATGGAGGAGAACAGTCTGGACAAAGCATCTGGTTTAATGATCCAAGTCTGTAGATAATGGAGAAGATGAAGCAAAGAAAGAAAAGGGCCCACAAGGCTTGTCATGCATTCATCCTCTCGGGAGTTTGGTCCGTCCAATCCGTGTCCTCAAGCCAGTCTCCACTCAGCCAATTGTAATTCTTCCAGCACCATCTTGATGGTGAGCAACTCCAATCTCCAGTATCACAATTCATTTTTCCCAATAAGAGAAAATAAAATGGTAAATGGCCTCTATTTGTATAGCGCTTTACTAGTCCCTAAGGACCCCCTGAGCGCTTTACACATCCAGCCATCCACCCATTCACACACACATTCACACATTGCTGATGGCAAGCTACATTGTAGCCACAGCCACCCTGGGGCGCACTGACAGAGGCGAGGCTGCCGGACACTGGCGCCACCGGGCCCTGTGACCACCACCAGTAGGCAACAGGCGAAGTGTCTTGCCCAAGGACACAACGACCGAGACTGAAAGACTGAAAGGATCTGGCTGAAGTCCATAATCATCATCACTGATGAGCAGACCTGCCCAAGTCCAGCCGAAATGTTTTAGAATCTGGATCATTGCACGTACCTAAGTGAATACAGATTAACGTGTAAGTGCACCGAAAAGAAAAGGAAAACTTTCGGCGTGTTATATTTTTTTTCATCATCCACAATACAGCATTTAAATATAATTGCAATTTAGCCTTAATCTCTGAGATAATACAGTGTAATTCTCAAAACTAATTATATTATTATTTCTAATATTTTCACATCCTTGTGTTTTCTTCTTTTACACAGATATTGAAACAGACTTTTGCGTTTCCATTTTAATTGTGATGACAAATTTTCACCTGGAAAGCATCACTTGAGATCGTTCTAAAGAAGGATGGATGGATGGATACTTTTGACGGTCACTCAGGCAAAATAACTCACCTGTGAAAGATACAGACTGTATATTGGGGAGCTATCCACGTAGAGATATCTTAACTTTGTCATCATGACTGCATTATTTTTTTCATAAAATGGTTTTACATTTTCAATTAAATCAAATTAATCCAAGAAAACTGTTACATGGTCAAGCAGAAAACTTACCATAGGTACTCTGTACAAGCCTAAGACGTTGGAGATTGCAATAGAATTTGTAGAAGATGAATCACCCACAACCCCTATGACTGGAGGATTTCCAACACATGTATCATCTACTACAATTTGATCCTCTTGACCACTGGCTTACCATGGGCTTACCAGGAGCAGGGGGCTCCTGGTAAGCCCATGGTTGGTCCTGCTGAGCAGGCATTTTGTTCCCAGAGTCCTCAGCCACGCCTTTTGCCCAGACAGGAAACAGCCACCTCCCAAACCCAGGTAACTCAAAGAAAGAGAAACATAATTTATATAACAAAACATTTTAGAAAAACCACACAATGTTACTATGTGTGCGCCTCATAATACCAGTGTTAGGTTTAACCAAATGATTAATGAAGAAAACTGCAAAGCAAACTAATAAAGTAAAAAATGGACTAATTTACCCCTGTGTGGCTGATACCATCACAGTCCTGCTCCTAGCAAGTCAGCCACAAGGTAAACTAAGCTAATGTAGTGAATCCCTAAAGACACAGTGAATGAATACTGTGAATATAATTAGCAGGTGATTTCACAAAGAGTGTGCTTTGGTTAAAGTATGTGAAGATTGCACTAAAAAATTGAAATTTTGAACTGAATATAAAATCAGCTCAAAATTTCTTTACTTTTTGCAGATGATGTGGCACTGTTTGCTTAATCGGGGGGTGACCTCCAGCTTGCACTGGAGTGGTGTGAGAATCAGCACCCCCAAGTCAGAGACCATAGTTCTCAGCCGGAAAGGGTGGAATGCTGACTCCATCTGGGACAAATTACTACCCCAAGTGAAAGAATTTAATTTAACTCTCGGGGTGTTGTTCACGAGTCTGGGGAAAATGGAACATGAGATTGACTGATGGATTTGGGCAACATATAATAATAATAATGGATTGGATTTATATAGTGCTTTTCTAGGCACCCAAAGCGCTTTACAATACCACTATTCATTCACTCTCACATTCA